GTTTTAAGTGAGTGATGGAGTTTGGATGTGTTGTCCCCTGCAAAACTCATGTGGAAATTTGATCTCCAATGTGGCAGTGTTGGAAACTGATTGAGTCATGGGGGCGGATCCCTCATGAATGGATTAATGCTCTTCCTGGGGGCAGGGGGATTAATGAGTTCTCGCTCTATTAGTTCCCATGAGAGCTCGTTGCTTAAAAAGACCCTGGCACCTTCTCTCTCTCTCTTGCTTCCTCTCGCCATGTGATCTGCTTGTACCCGCCAGCTACCTGCCGCTTTCCACCATGAGTAGAAGCAGCCTGAGGCCCGTGCCAGATGCAGCTGTCCCAGAATCATAAGCCAAAAAAACCTCTTTTCCTTATAAATTACCCGGTCTCAGGTATTTCTGTTATAGCAACACAAACGGACTAAAACAGTGAGCATTTTATATTATTTCATTATCTCTCTCCTTAGCAGATCAGTATACTTCTTTTAATTTGTGTGTGTTTACCCTGGAGTTTGCAGTATACATTTACAACTAATATAAGTCTACTTTCAAATAAGACTATACCACTTCATAGGTAATGCAGATACCTTATAACATAATAATCCCATTTCTTCCCTCTTGACCCTTATGTCATTGTTGTCATTCATTTCATTTATCCTTAAGCTATAATCACTCCTTGTATAGTTGCTGTTAATACTGTGAACAAACTTATGTTAGATCAATTAAGAGTAAGATAAAAATTTTATCTTTATTTTTCTCTAATACTTGTCCTTTGTTTATGTAGATCCAAGTTTATAACATACTGTTTATCGTTTTCCTTCTTTCTGAAGAACTTTTAACATTTCTTGCAAGGCAGTTCTACTGGTGACAAGTTCCCTCAATTTTTGTTTTATCTGAGAGAGTCTTTATTTCTCCTTTACATTTGAAGGATAATTTATTGGAAAACAGATTTTTGGGTTGGTGTGTTTTTCCTCTCAACACTTGAAATAGTTCATTCCACTCTTTTTTTTGCATGGTTTCTGAAGAGAAGTCTGATGTAATTCTTATCCTTGTTCCTTTATAGGTAAGGTGTTTTTTTTCCTTTAGCTTCTTTCAAAAATTTGTTTTGATTTTCTGCAGCTTGAATATGATATGCCTAGGGTGAAACAGAAGGAGGTTTTTCTTTTGTCTTCAACCTGAGAACCTGGGGTGGGGCTCCTGGAGGTAAAACTCAAAGTGTGGGGGTCCTCTTAAAGATCCACCCCCAGCCATTTTTAGCTCTCAGGTATTTCACTCAGTCTTCAGCAACTAGTCAATTACCCTTTAAGTGTCCCTACCAGGCTCCAGCTGCTGCTTATACTCCAGGTAAGCACTAAATCTCTGTATTAGCATTTCTCTCTAGTTTTGGGGGTATAGGTTAGCCCTTTGTTCTCCACTCTCTGAAGGCTATAAGAAGAATTGTTGATCTTTAGTTTGTTCATCATTTTTCTTGTTATGAGGACAGGAATGATGACATCCAAGATGTTTACATGTCAGACTGGAAACCAGAAGTCAACTGTAAGGTTTTTTTTTTTTTTTTGTCTTCGTGACCGGTAAGGGGATCACAACCCTTGGTGTGGTGTCGTCCGCACTGTGCTCAGCCAGTGAGCACACCCGCCAGTCCTATATAGGATCCGAACCGGTGGTGGGAGCGTCGCTGCGCTCCCAGCGCCGCACTCTCCCGAGTGCGCCACAGGGTCGGCCCCAACTGTAAGTTTTTATGGAAGTCCTTTACCAAGTTGAGGTAACCCCCCTCTATTCCTAAATTGGTGAGAGTTTTTAACATGAATGTATCTTGAATTTTGTAAGATGCTTTCCTTGCATCAATCATCAAATGATTATACTCTCTTAGACTGTTGATATGGTGGATTACGTTGATTGATTTTCAGATATTAAACCAGACTTGCATATTCTGGAATTAATCCCATTTGGGTCATGATGTATAATTCTTTTTACATTGTTGGATTTAATTTTCTAATATTTTGTTGAGAATTTTTGTGTCTAAATTTTTGACATGTGTGTCTCATGGGAGACATTGGTCTATAGTTTTCTTTTTGCACTGTCTTTGGTTTTAACATCAAGGTAATTCTGGCCTCATAAAATGAGTTTGGAAGTATTCCCTCCTGTACTAGTTTTTGGAAGAGAATGCATAAAATTGGTGTTAATTCTTGTCTAAGCACTCAGTAAAAATCTCTAGTGAAGTAATCTGGGCCTGGGATTTCTTTTTTAGGGAACTCTTTAATTGCAAATAAAGTTTATTTAATGGTTATAGTACTATTCGGGTTTTCTGTTTCATCTTAGTTGAGTTTTGGTAGATTGTGGTTTTGGAGGAATTGCTCTATATCTTCTAAATTTTTAAATTTATGATTTATAATTATGAAGTTGTTTATAATATTTCCTTTTTACTTTTTTAAAGAGTGCAAGATGTGTATTCCCCTGTTTCATTGCTAATATTTGTAATGTGTGTCTTCTGTTCTACCTCTTGCTAGAGGGTTATCAATATTACTGATTTTCCCCCCAAAGAACCAGATGTAATTAACAACGAATTTTCTTTCCTGTTTTCAATTTTATTGATTTATATCCTTATTTTTATTTTTCTCTTTTCTTGAGATGGGAGCTTAAATTATTGATTTGAGTCTCTTCCTCTTTTCTAATGTAAAAATTAGTGCTCTAAATTTCCCTCTCAGCACTGGCTTAGCTGTGTCCCAGAAATCTTTTAAATTGTTACAAAATATGCATAACATAAAATTTGCCCTTTTAGTCATTTTTACACATAGAGTTCAGTGATATTAACTGCATTATTAACTATCACCACTGTCCGTCTCCATAACCTTTTCATCATCTGAAACTAAAACTCTGTACCCCTTAAATAATAACTTCCCATTCCTCCTTCTCCTTGGTACTGAGTAACCACTATCCTACTTTCTGTCTCTGAATTTGACTCATCTAGGTACCTCATAAATGTGGAATTATATAATTGTCCTTTTGTGTGTAGCTTATTTCACTTGGCATAATGTCTTCAAAGTTCATTCATATTTAGCATATATCAGAATTTCATTCCTTTTTAAGACTGATATTCTATTATATGTACATAGCACATTTTGTTTATCCATGCATTCATCAATGGACATTTGAGTTTTTTCCACTTTTTTGCTATTGTAAATAATGTTTCTCTGAACATTGGTGTACAAATATCTGTTTGAGTTCCTGCTTTTAGTTTTTTGGGGTATATAACTAGAAGTGGAATTACTAGATTATATGGTAATTCTATGTTTAATTTTTTGAGGAACAGCTCTACTGTGTTCCATAGCAGTTGCAGCATTTTACATTAGTACCAGCAATCCAATTTCTCCACATACTCACCAACACTTGTTTTCTGTTTTTTGTTAATAGCCATCCTAAGAGGTATGATGTGATCTCTCATTGTTCTGATTTGCCTTTCCCTAGTGATTAGTGATGTTGAGCATCTTTTCATGTATTTATTGGCCATTTGTATATCTTTGGAAAAATGTCTGTTGAAGCCTTTGTCTATTTTTTAATTGGTTTCCTTGGGGGTATTTTTGTGGTGATGTTTTATTGTAGGAATTCTTTATATATTCTGGACATTAATCCCTTATCAGATGATTTGCAAATATTATCTTCCATTGTATAGGTTGCCTTTTCGTTCTCTTGATAGTATCCTTTGATAAATAAAAGTTTTTAATTTTGATGAAATCCAATTTTTAAAATTCTGTTTATTTTCTCTTTTGTTGCCTGTGTTTGTAATATGTAGCTTAATAATGTGCCCCACACCCATTTTTTTTCAGAGTTCTGTATAGTTTATATGTCTTACTTTTTCAGTATCTCCATCCTTTGCCTTAAAAAACGATGATAAAAAGAAAGAGAGAAATCATGAGAGGAGTACTATACCTGTTACAAGTGAAAAGATTTTTTTTCCCCCAATTTAATTTATATTTATTTTTGTGGGGTATAGTGTGTTGTTTCAATACATGCATATACTGCACAGTGATTCACTTAGGGCAGACAGCATAGTTTTGTCCCCATTAGTTCACCCTTAATCTTAACCCCCACCCCCATCCCTCCCAGCTTCTGGTAACCATTATTCTACTCTCTCTTTCTGTTTTTAAACACACAAAGATTAACCTCCTTATTGCAAAAATAACTCTTAAAAATGAATTAGAAAAATCTAAGCAGAAATTTGGTGAAGGATGCGAACAGATAAGTCACACACCCCAAAGAAACTCATGTGGTAAATAGTACATTCTAAGATCTGGTTTCAGGTGGGGATGGGGCTGGCCCAACCCCTATCTCTGGACCCCCTGGTATGGAGCTAGCTCCATTGCTGGCCTGGATGTGTGGCGGGGGTGGGCTGAAAAAATTTTTAAAGACTGAATAACACTAAGAATCATCTAAATTGCCAGTACCGTCCTTTCAACCAGAATGAGGAGAAATATATTCTGTCCTTTTAGAGTGCTTTTAAGTTGAAAAGCAGTTTTTATTTATAAATTTCAATCTATATGTTTATATAACATCAGAACATATGCCTTATTTGAAAGCATGTATATTTTGAGGTATGGAAGGTAACCCTCAAATTGAACTCTAGATGTATATGATATTATTGTGATGAATTTAGTTAAAAAAATTAGCTCTATAATTTTGATTATGGAATGAATTGGTTACTTAAAAAGAATTTAATAATACAGGTTGTAGTTATTTACAAGTACCGTTTTAATTTTATTAGATGTAATTTTGAAATAATGATTTTATATTTTGTGATTGACTTACCTTTTCAGAAAGAAAATGTAATAAAAATGAAGTTTTTTCTTACAATGCAAGTGCGTTTACTAAATAACTTGCTATTTTCAAGTAGAAGTTGCATATCTAATAAAATTGCGTTTCAAGTTGTGTTTAAAAATTGTAAAATATACTTCCTTAATTACAAGTATTATCTAATTTATTCTTTAATAACCCTTATTTTTTGGTTTGTTAATTTTCAGGTGAATTATGTAACCTCATTACGCTGGATGTAGCTCACAATCAACTTGAACACCTTCCAAAGGAGATTGGAAACTGCACACAGATAACCAACCTTGACTTGCAGCACAATGAACTGCTAGACCTCCCAGATACTATAGGTATGAGAAGAGAAGGAAGATATTGGTAGTTATTTATGGCTTTCTGGACTACTATTAATAGGACTACTTTTTAATCCTTTTTAGTAATAAAAACTAGCGATTAAAATTCAAAATTACCTAAGTAGTAAAACATCTAAAAGATGGTATTTTAAAATCACTTTTCATTTCCATTTCTTGGCCAAGAAAATAATTAGGTTTTAAAAAAGAGCCCAGTTGGGTTATAAAGAAGATAGAATATTGAATTACATGTATATATTGTTATAGATTAAATTGCAGAATGAGTGATTTTCTGTTTTTGCTTGTTTTAGAATGTTGTATGCTATTATATTGAATGTGGTCTTTTCTTTGCTAAAGTAGACAACTGAAAGATAAAACCATTGCAGTTTAGTTTTTAAAATGTGGCCAATGTAGTCTAAGGTCTGTTCATCTGTAATATTGAGGGGTAAGAGAAAAGATGTCTTGAAGTTCAAAATGTGTTTCAAAGACTTTGCCAAACTGCAGCAAGTTGAATTGAGCTAACTGTGATATGTTCTGTAATTATATAGTCTTGTGTATTTTTCTAATTGTTCATAAATTGATTAAAACAGTAAAGGGGGGCTGGCCCGGTGGCGCACTGGATAGTGTGCCGCTTGGGAAGCGTGGCGGTGCTCCCGCCCGAGGGTTCGGATCCCACATACAGACCGGTTCCCGCTCACTGGCTGAGCAAGGCGCGGGAGCGACACCGAGGGTTGCGATCCCGTTGCCGGTCCCCGGTCCGGTACGGGGGCAACACTGAGGGTTGCGATCCGTTGCCGGACACGGAAAAAGACAAAAGACAAAAAAAAAATAAAAATAAAAAATAAAACAGTAAAGGGAATTTATAAATTTCTGATGCCTTTTTAATTATTGGTGTGGTATAAGGATACCATAATGTTTATTTAGAAAAATTACATCTATATTTTATTTACATAATTTTAGTAATGAATATTTCAGAGGTGCTAGCTATTTAGTAAATCATTGTAAGCCTATAATGATGTTATCTTTCTCTAGAAGGATTTTTGTTTGCTTCTGTCAGTTTCCTAGCGGGACCACTTTAATCGATCCTTGTTCAAGGCTTGAGGTTTTTCTGGTCTGTCTCCCAGGTGTTTCAAAGGTTTAAATGCTGGTGCTTAGTCATTATCTTGTTAGCTTTCTGATTTTTGTTTTGAAAAAAAAAAAATTTTTTTTAATGGGAGGGTTTATTTGAATTACCTACCATTATTTGAAACAGAAGCAGTTGTTAGGGAATTTTTAAATAGAATTGAATAGACTATGTTCGGTTATATGGAACAACTTTTTATTTACAGAAAAGCAAGCTAAGTCTTGGATATAATAGCTAGTCATTAGAACCTGTGTGTGTCTCCCGGATTCTTGGCCCATGGCTCTTTCTATCATATTACTATTTGTAATGGCAACAGATTAAGTATTCTAATTTACTTAAGATGCCTCTCTGAAAGGCAGGTTGGTCTACAACACATAATGAATTGCTCTATTAATATACATAGTGAATATTCTACCAAATTTCCTATATAAATAAGAGAATCAGATTTCTGGTTCAAAATAATAGGGATCAAGCATGATTATTTCTTGCTTTTTTCTCTTCAAAATCAATTGAAATGCCAAGATGACAAAAGAGAAATATGTTAGAAATATGTTTGGTAAATCAAATTTAATGGAAAATGATGTGTAATATAATGAACACAGCCAAAGACAAAAATGATCTGTAGGATAAAGTAGAAGTCCCCTAGAATCTAGAACAAAAATCAAAAATATATACAAAATAAGAAATACACAAAAGATAAATGAAAAGTTAAAAAGTCATGGGAGTCAGGACTAAAACTTCTAGAAAGAAAATAGAGATATATAATGAAGAAACAAAATACAATTTTGTAATGGTTCCCTGAACTTGCTAAAAACCCAGAGAATAAGACTGAAATTGCTTACCAAGAAGAAATAATAAAAAAAAGATACATTCTGGTAGAAGTTTTAAAAATTAAATGTATTTACTTGTTTTGAATCAATAGTATATTGGCATATAATATCATAAAATCTGCCTTTGCCTAGTTTTGGTTTTAGGGTAATGCCACATGTAATAGGTTGGGAATGTTCCCATCTCTTCAATTGTTGGAACAGTTTATATGAAAGTGGCATTATTTCTTAATATTTGGTAAAGCTCACCATTTGGGTCAGAATTTTTCTTTATAAGAATGTTTTTAAAACAATTTCAATTTCTTTAATAGATATGGGGCTATTTAGGTTATTACTTTCTTCTTGAGCAAACTTGGTCATGTGTGTCTTTTAAGGAATATGTTCATTTTACTTAAGTTGTCACGTTTAAAGGCATTAAGTTATTCATAACATTCCCTTGTTATTATTTTAATATCTATAGAATCTGTAGTAATGCCACCTCTCTCATTCCTGATATGTGTAACTTGTACTATTTTCCCTCTTCTTTTCCTAACCTGGTTTCTGGTTAGAAGTTTATCAATTTTATTGATTCTCTCAAAGTTTTATTGATTTTTTTCCCTATTGTTTCTCTGGTTTTTATTTCATTGATTTCCACTTTGAACTTTATTATTGCCTTTCATCTGTTTACATTGAGTTTTGTCATTTTTCTATTTTCTTTTGGTGGAAGCTTGAAGTTATTGATTTGAGACATTTCTGATCTTCTCATAGACATTTAGTGCTATAAATTTCCCCTTAAGTACAATTCTGATACGTTGCATTTTCCTTTTCATTCAAAATACTTTATAATTTACTTTTCTTCTGTGATCTATAGCTTATTTAGAAGTGTGTTGTTTAGTTCTCAAATGTTTGACAATCTTCCATGAATCTTTTTGTTATTGATTTCTAATTTAATTCTTTTGTGGTCAAGAACATACCTTGTATGGCTTGAATCCTTTTAAATTTATCGACATTTATTTTATGGATCAGCATATTGTCTACCTCGGAAGTATTCCATGTGCAATTGACATGTATTCTCCTTTGTTGGGTGGAGTGTACCATAAATGTCAGTCATGGCACAGATGTGGCAATCAGTGAATTTTTCTATTTCCTGCCCTTTTTTTGGTCTCTTTTTTCTAAATTTTTCTTAGTTACATTGTCAGGACGGGGATCATACTTTGTTACACTAATACCCATTTTTATTTAAGTCTTAATGTTCATCAGCAATCCTATTGCCGTTGTTGTCTCAGTCATTTCTTGGTTATTTGAAGTTAATCTGGTAATATTTTTCTCAAAAATAGTTCATGGGAACAGTAGTCCCCTATAATTCTTGTATGTTTGTGACTTTTATACTTGAAGAACCATTTGGATGGTTATGAAATCATTGGGTCCAACTTCTTTTCCTCAAGGATCTTAGTAGAACTAAAAGGTGTAGTTCTACTGTCTTCTGGCTTTTAATGTACAAAAATATGAGGACAATCCATTTTTTCCTCATTATAAGTGACTTAATCTTTTTGCCTGGCCACCCAAAAGATTGTTTTTTTATCTGAAGTTCAAGAACTATATTTTATTTCTCATTGTTGATATTTCAGGGTTGCATTTCCTTAGTATACTCTGGGCCAATTCAAATTATAAGTTTAATTTTTATTTCAGTACAGTTTTCTTGAATTACATTGTGACATATTTAGTTTGTGTTGTATGTTCTTACATTGAAATATGTCTGTAAGTTTTCTAATTGTGAACAACCAACTTATTGGGACAGTAAAGGAGAAAAGAAAGGATAACGCAGTCTCAGCAGGATCACTTTTCAGTGGAATGTCACATAAAGCACTTTCAAAAAATAACTTCTTTCATAAAATTCAAAATCTTGTTCAATCTTAGAAAGAAAAACAAAATGTTGCTTTACTGCAAATCAGACAAGAGAACTGAAATTTAAGATATTCAAAATTTTATAAAGTTATGTTCTTATCCTACTTATTGATGCTTAGTCACTGTGTATTTCTTATGATATCACAAATGCTAAACACTTTATTGTCTTTTGAGCATATAAGGCAAGTTCTATCTTCAAGGGTGTCTGTTCTTCCCATCTTTCTGTTTAGAACTCTTTTTTTCCTAAATACACACTCAACTTCCTTTGGTCCTTCAACTGATCAAATGGATACATAAGTCATGGTCGTCAATCAGCCCTGTTCTTTCTCTCAAATAGTCTAACAACACTTTATTATTTAATATTTTATTCATGTGTCTGTATCTCTGTGTTGTTAAGTAACAGTCAAAGAGGGATACAATTAAAGTATTAAAATGAATAGTCCAGGCAAACAGAAAGCATAGATAATGGTAGATGATAAAATCTTCCAGTAAGAAGGACTAGGGTCCTTTAGATTTATTTCCTCTGACAAAGGATAGCTTTTCTATGTATTCTTCTTTCTCCTGGTTTTCTTAATTTTATATTTCTCTCTTTTATTCGAAATGTGTTTATTAATTATGAAACCAGTTAATTTTATTAATCTTTTGGAGTTAAGATATGATCTCAGGATAACACATATGCCTCAGTTCTGGCATATTCTGCATGGTCAGATTATTAGTATGTATTGGAAATCATTGAGGACAGAAACATTGACAATAAAAAAATTTAAATAATATTGCATTTATTTTTATAGGTTTTGATAGATATACAACTGTTAATTATGAGTAATGACAAAGTGAATAAGTAATATTTGTTGAAAGTTTTTTTGATATTGTAGTCATTTACTGTGTTTATTAAAATAATTCTTTTCTGTTTCTCCACCCCTCCTATCCCTAATATTTTGTTGTGTAACAGAAGGTTGAGGTTTGGTGAGAAATTTGAACATTTGGGTCTTGGTTTGCTAAAAATCTAAACAGTCTTAATTGGCCTCTGAGACTCTCCTCATTTATTGGAGAAGAGCAATTCACCCAAAGCAGTCAATGGCAAACTTAATTGGTATATGGTTCTCCTGATACCTTTCCTTTTTTTTTTTTCCCCAATCCTAGTCTAGTTCTTGAAAAGTATTACTTAA